GAAAATAGCAGCGAGTGTTTGATCATGAATATGGGGAACAATCGATAGTGTTTCACAAAAACCAGAAACACAATCATAGAGGAACAAAAACACATATCCAGACTTTCTGAAACATATGAAAGTTTGTTGTCTTGGCACTTTCGACCCAAGCGTGCTTCTTATTTATGAGTATCACCGATTTTTCTCAACGTAGAGTTTACTGTGAAAAATGTGTCGAAATCTGACTTCTTTTGTCAGCGCCGGCTGGAGGCTATTGAATATTCCAGGGTCTGATTGTATTTCATTTCTAAATATTCAAATATGCATAAACTAACTGGGAAATTATTTATAAAGGCGACGGGCCAGCGAAGATGTTGGCGATATTATCTGGTGTTCTTTTTTAGTTTTATTTCCTTTGTAGCTTGATTCACAGTGACTGTTTCGAATGATCTTGATTTATTCAATCGTGGTCTTCCTATTGTTCAATGGCATCACGGCGTACTCTCAACCTGGCCCGTGTGACGGCAGCTGCTTTTCCCACGATCCTTCCTTGATTCAACACACTGATGGCACTTGGTTTCGCTTCAATACCGGTAAAGGAATTGGAATATGGAAAGCACCCGCTCTCCGGGGGCCATGGACATACGTTGGTGATGCCTTGAAGGGTGGATCGTCGATACAACTTGCAGGACGCAATGACCTATGGGTCAGCGGATTGTCATTCGTCGTTTTTGATCTTTTGCTAACATTTACAAGCTCATAGGCACCAGATGTATCTCGTGTTGGCAAAACGTACTACATGTACTACGCTGTTTCCCAATTCGGTAGAAAAACCTCGGCAATCGGCGTGGCCACAAGCTCGACGTTGGAGGCAGGCTCGTGGACAGATCATGGGGGAATAGGTGTACAATCTTCCGACAATTCCCCCTACAACGCGATTGATGCCAGTCTACTATTATCTGGAGGCGCCTACTAGTAAATGGATCATTCATACCTCTCCGCATTGTCATTTATTCCACTTACCCGATCTGTTGTTCAAATTGTAGCCTGGTCTTTGGATCCTGGAACCGGGGTATTCATCAAGTAGCCATGCAATTTCCGCCAAAGAGGAAAGTCAGGTCTAGCGTTGCCATCAACCTGGCGTACGACCCTAGCCCGCCTCATACCGGGGAAGGACCAACAATGTTCCAGCACGGTGGGTGGTATTACCTTCTATTTTCGTCCGGTATATGTTGCGGTTATCAGAATAAGAAGCCGGATCCTGGTGCGGAGTACAAAATCGTTATGTGCCGTAGTAGATCGCCTACATCGGGGTTTTTCAACAAGGCTGGGGTTGATTGTTTGAAAGGCGGGGGAACAACGCTATTAGCTAGTCATGACAATGTTTATGGTCCCGGTGGACAGTACGTGACTTATCCTCCCCCCTCCTGTCTTCTTGATTATCGACTGACGCATATCAATATTCTTTTGTAGAGGTGTGATTGACACCCCCAATGGTCTCCTTCTCTACTACCACTACACTAACCCTCAACGTGGGATTGCGGATGCCGACAATATTTTTGGTTACAATTATCTATCTTTTCCAGATGGATGGCCTGCTGTCTGATTCGGGTTTTTGAATACGTTGGGTTCTTGCGATCACAGATCTGTACAATTCCTTTTTTTTCATTCCGAATGCGTAGGATGACTAATTATTCAAATGAACACAGCAGTCCTTGTTAGTTGCATATAATATGTATTTTTATCTTATGAGTGAGATAATGTTTGGCGAGACTTTCACAAGATTGATATTGTTACATACATCATAATTATACCGAGATTCAGAAATCCGATCACAAATCCAGATTTAGTGAGATCAGCTGAATCTTGAGAGAGGATGCAGTTCAGGTTGGAATGTGAGTGTGATCGTACGACCAGTACGTTCAAAGGAATTTCGAAGTTGAGTGATAGATTGATGTGATCAGCTTGAGGTTGAGGTAATAATTCATCAGAAAAGTGGGAGAGGATTTTACAACTGATTGGATTATTAAGGTGATGTGAGCGGACAGAGTTCAATTTGAAGGTATTCTGAAGGAACTTTCTGTTGGTCGAGCATCGACATGGAAAGCGACGGCTTGATCAGATGTCTTAAACGACGTGCACTTGATGGCAGATCGGGAAATATTGTCTCGTGCAGTTTTTCAAAGCTTGGGTCAGTTCTGCAACATCGACAAACGCATTGCGAAGCGTAGCAGAGATGATACTGAAAGGGTGGAAGGAGAAAGCGCTTATCAAAGTAATCGTTGCGCACAGAAAGTTATAGAAATATGTGCATTGTGCACGCGAGATAGATCAAGAACCAACTTGACATCAGCTAGTACGTTTGTACAATGCGACAGGGGAAAAGTGAGGAGATATCCCGAGAGACGTCGTTTAAGTGTCATATCGTACATAAAAGGTATCATCTCAAACATTACAAAAGAGAAAGGCTCTACAAGTGAAGGCCAAATACAAATCCATTAAAGTATTCTCTAGCCAATAAAAGTGTTGATGTCGTTCAAGGCTCGCGTGAACCTCGTTCTGCCTTTTGATACTTCAATATCCATGGGTGATTGGCTACCTGTGGTAAGGGTAACCGATCTTGAGGTTCATGTTGTAATAGCTATCAAATAAAACACGCTCAGTCAATAGGGGACTATAGTTGTTAATTGAGTGATTGAGAGGTAATTTCGTACCTTTCGTATTAGATCAGCTGCTTCCGCCGAGACAAAACTCGGAACCTTGAATTGTACTTGTGAGATCTTTTTGTACGTGGCTGATTGTGAGGGAGAGATGTGCAACTCAGATCGAGAAATTTCGATGCACAGGTTCTGGAGAGAGTGATGATATATAAAGTTGCATACCATTATGTCCACTGAGATCCTCAAATGGCGGGTTGCCTACGATGAATTCGTATGTCAAAACTCCAAGGGCCCAAAGGTCGACCTTTTCGTTGTGGTCTTTGCCTTCAACCATCTCTGGTGGCAGATAGTCCAATGTACTAAACAGGATAGACAATTTGTTGATTTCATAAGCCAAAATCGTGCAAGCTTGAGCCAGCACAGACAAGTCGATCCGTCCCAAGTACTTACCCGCACAAAGTTTTCCGACGATTGCCAGGCGCGTGAACACTCCAACCAAAATCAGCTATCTTCAGTTCACCTTCAACGCCCAACAAAAGATTCTCAGGCTTGATATCTCTGTGAATCACGTGCTTCCCGTGTAAATAATGTAGCGCATCGGCCATCTGAGCAATGTAACGCGCTGAACGCTTCTCACTGAACCTTCCATGGCGATGAAGTTGTTTGTAAAGTTCTCCTTTGCCGGCAAACTCAAGCATGAGGAAGATACGCTTCTCGTCGTGGAAATATCCGTATAATCTTAAGACATTTGGATGACTGATTATAGCGAAAATCGGTCAGTCACATGTGTATCAATCGATATGGATAGAACGAATTCTTCTTACCGAAGATTGCTCTGGATTTCAATTTCCCTGCGCAGTTGTTTTTCGACTTTACATTCGACCAGTTCTTTCTTGTAAAGACATTTGAGAGCCAATATGAAGTGAGGGGGGGATTTGGTGCGAACCATATAGACTCTCCCAAATTTGCCCTTGCCCAAAGCGCGACCAATCTCAAATGAATTCATACTCCATTGTGGCGTTGGACGTTTGTGTCTAAGACAGATAAGGCAAGGTAAGTCAATTGAGCGTAGAAATTGGTGAAATGTAGGGAATAAATAGCCTACAGAGGTGAAGCCGAGTCAACATCGAGTAGATCTTCGTCTGGTTTCCGACCAAGCTCCCAGTTCCCGCGGCCAGTCTCGTCATCTTTATCAATACCACCATCGTATTCGCCAATCTCCATACCAGAGACGGCTTCAGTCTGATTGCACATTGAAGGAGGAGGATGAGAAGGAGGGGCTCCGAGAGTGTATGGCTTCTGATTCATGGTCTTTGATTGAGATGAACCCGGTAGATAGAACGAAGAAGTTGGATCGACTTCAGGTTGGTTCTTGTCCAATATACTTGATTGAATACCAATGCTGGCTTGGGCTTTGGCTAAGGATGCAGAAGAGTGATTTGTGCCAATCTTGTTGAGAGCAGAACGAGGGTTGTTGGAAGTGTTTTGTGAAGAACTCATCGGCTGAAAGGAAGAATGAAGATAAGTATTGATCGAAGATAAGAATCATTCTGAGAACTGACCTTGACGTTAGAATTAGTGGAATGGGTTGGTTTCTTGGTTTTTGAGGTCTTGTCATCAAGTCGGATACTACTCATACTGTTTTCAATTTGATCGATTTGTGAAGAACCTGTTTGAAGTATTCTTGAAGTCATCTCGTTTGAGGTAAGAAAGGTTTCGTGATGATGTTCGTATTTGAATCGAAAGTGATAAAGTGTGATAAGTTGAGATGAGAATGAGTTATGTAGATTGAGAAAGTCTTGAGATCAAATTGGATGCATGTACAAAATCGAATTCCTCTCCCGAGTAACAAATCTGGTGACTGTACAAGTCAGGTATCACATAACTACAGACGCGCTTTTAGTTCATCACCACTTCTCAATCATGTCCCAAGCTCAAGTGCTCACTGTCCATAGCAAGTCTGCACAAAAAGCGAAGCCATAGAAAGAAATACAACCATCAGAGATGGCCCTGAGCGAAGGATTGTGGACCAAACCTGGACGGGCCTGGCTTTTAGGACGTGAATGTGCATCTGAGAAGGTGTCCAGTGTGGTACTGGTGTGCTTGCTCTGGAGCGGAAATCTCATGATTGAAGTGGTGTCAACCACAAATCTCATCTTGATCAATGATCAGTGATGACATCCTGCAATCACATTCGAATGATAGCCTATGGGAATAACCACCCACCCTCAAACGTCAAAAATCAAGAGGCCCATCAGGCGTATCGCACTACGTGTCAAGACCAAAGTTCCCCTTTCCTCTCCTTTCTTTGATTAGGATGTCTAAGATGCTGATGCGCCCCTGACTCTGAAAAAAGATTACTCCCTCGAACCGGGTTCGAACCGGTGACCTACAGATGCACAGCATCCAGATTGTCCAATTACAGTCTGTCGCTCTTCCAACTGAGCTATCAAGGGCTGGTGAAGAGAATCTTGTTCAAAATTATATCCCCCATAATTGGATAGCTGAATACACTGCTGCACATGTCATTGAGTTGGAAATCATTACCAAAGTTTAATGATTTCTTCATTAAATAAGTGTGAAGCTTCAGCAGGATTATTTTTCAAAGTAAAGAGGGTGAATTGCAAGTAAGTATGTATTTTCATTTGTACTGATTCAATGAGGCTGACCCAAATCTTGATTGGCTCTCATTTGATTATATTTTGAACTAGAGACTTCACTTTGCCTGATGTACTGTGAAAATACACCAACAATCAGGCAACATTGAAAATCAACAAAAGATGGTGTTTTAATTGATTGTCTGCTTATATTCCACTCACCATGATACCTCAAATTATGATTCTAATAACCTGTGGTATGCAACAAGATATGTGCTTCTTTTGTGAAATTTTGCCAATCAGAGCCAAGAATTGAGCAAAACTAATACTTACAATTGTTGATCAAATGTTCTCAAGGCCTTTGTGGTTTTGTTAAGTTGTCAATCAAGCTTCTTCATAAGATTGATAGTAACTCTTTCTCCAAGTTGGAATTCATCACTTAAGATAATATCTTAACCAATTATATTGCAATACCTGCTTGTGCCAATTGGCCTACACACACAGTTCCATCTAGGCTTTCAATGATAGATTTTATGACAAAGAATTTGTTGATTGCGCTTGGAAGAAAGAAGTGTATATGTATATAGTCATAGAGAAATGGTTGAACCAGTCAAAAAGGAATTTTGCAAAGCATGTGGTGCTGCCTTTCAACTTCAAGCACCATAATCACATGACAAAGCTCCTAGATGGGACATGGGGAGTTAATCATTCTGTACCCTTCAAGTTGTAAGTAAGCACATGATAATTTTGGGTTGTTTTATTCATGAACCAATACCTCTTTCAACCCATTAAGAACCCACTTCCACATGATGATCTGTTTTCTTGATTGTGTGATGAGGCAATGTGAAAATCCATCCTAGCGAAATTTCTAAACTTGACTTGTACATATCCAATTCCTTGTGTTCCGCTCGGCAAGGATGAGCATCTTTATGTACACCTCTGTGCAATGTGATAACCCATATGTTTCGCGCGATTGTTTGGGATTATGGGTTATTTCAAGTCTATCATTTCCATTTCAACTGTGCATCCGAGCCCGGAATGTAAGTTGACCAAGTCCACACCTTCCCGCTCAGCTTCATCATGCAACAGACTATTAACTTCAAGCCAAAACACATTCAGCCAATCACCTTGGATGCCCTACTGGAATTAGATCCTGGTTTCATTGCAGCCGAGATATCAAGGCTAGAGAACTCAATCAACCATTTGACCCGCTCAAACTCTGATTTGCTTATGGCTGAAAAGGAGGAAGAAGACGTAGGAGAGCGTCAAATTTTTGTACTGGCTCGAGCAGAAAATGAAGACGTCATGTAAGGTATCTCTACTCTTCTGAAAACTGGCCAGCAACTGAGAATATGCGGTCTAGTGAAAGTCAGCGAGAACGAATCACCATGATGAGGCTTGCTCTACATCAAATGATCGGTCTAAATTCCGGCAATCCACATTACACAAGAGATGCAGCAAAAGGTGGCGGGGGCGATGTTACCAATGGGCCTGAAGGTGACCCCGTAAACCGGGAGCGAACGGTTGTAGATGAAGAAATTGGTGTATCTTTGTAATTAAGGGCATATTGAAAAAGGCGGGTGTTTGTGACTTGATCAGGCTGTGGAAACTGCAAGTGATGAGGGGGACGGCAATTGCAATTCTACCTGGGCGCACATCGCATATTGCATAATTCACGGCAGAAACAAATTGGATTGAAGGGCATGAATGTACAAAACGGGAGTGATTCCAACTAGTGACCTGCCCTTCGGCTTTCGGCAATAACCCCAGTGAGCTCATCGACTTTGCGCTTTGCACGTCGAAGGGTACCGAGCTGTGCGAAAGAAGTGTTCAATAATTGAACTAGATCATGAGAAAGGTCAAACAGCTTATCAACATACCCTGCGCTTGGTGAGTTTTCTAGCCTTCTTGTCCTTTGAGTTTCGAATGAGTTCCATTACACGACGTTCGTATGGTGCAAAACCAGCGACCTCACGAACAATTGAACGGACAAACTAAAACACAGAATCGCTATGAAGGTCAGCACAGGTGAAGTGTGGAGCGAATTAGTGTTGAAAAGCGTACGGTGGTGCGCTTGGATGCGTGACCCTTGCTGTAAGATGGCTTAGCGGGAAGCACACGAGGAGTAGTTTTGTGGCCAGAGTTGAGACCCCTGGGAAGACCTAGATGAGGTAGAATAGAGTCGAAAAAATGATTCAGCGTCCTTCCAAATGAGCTGGTCTAGGAGACGGGGGTTTCATCATGCTTGTCGAAAGAGTGGCTACATGGCCAATGTCGTCGATGAACGAGAAGTCTGACCTGTGCGGACGGGGGCCTGGCGTGTGGATTTGGTTCGTGCCATTGCTGAAGTCTTGAGGTAAAAGTTGTCTTGAGGTGGGTATTGAGCTCCGGGGTACCGTTTGACCTTTCCCTGTGTGAACCTTGAGTGCCAGTGGCTGGGGGGAATTGAAACCTAACGATAGTCTCATCAACTAGGTCAAGCGATTTTCAACCGCTTCCCCCGGTTTCCCTAAGTTTTACGCCCCTACCTCGAGTACGTTCATTTCGATTGTAATCTACCCAACCTCAGACTCACGCCCCTCAAGACACGATGCCGCCGAAGTCGAACCCCAAAGCCGATCCTAAGGGTGTGCTGCTTGTTCCATATCATCTTCAATTTTGGCAGAAGTTAATGTTAATCTCTGACTTTTGACATCTCATCCTAGCAGCCTCTGCTGCCAAACCTCAAGTGGCCAAGGCCAAGGCAGCAAGGAAATTAGTTGTGAAGGGGACTACTTCAAAGACCCAGCGCCGAGTCCGCACTTCCGTCACTTTCCGTCGCCCCAAAACACTTCGATTAGCACGGAAGCCAAAATACCCCCGAAAATCTGTCCCTCATGCCCCCCGAATGGACGCCTTCCGGACTTTGATTCGTCCTCTCAACACCGAAAGTGCTATGAAGAAGATCGAAGACAACAACACCCTTCTGTTTATTGTTGACTTGAAAGGTGGGCGGATTTGTGTCCAATTGGCGTTTACCAATCATTGATTGGGTTTCTGCTCTCCTGCAGCCAACAAGCGACAGATCGCAGATGCCGTCAAGAAACTCTACGAAGTCACACCTGCCCGAATCAACACCCTGATCCGGTGGGCTTTCTTTCTATACTAGATTCTTAGTTGTAACACAGACTTGACGTTCCCCATCTTCTACCAGACCTGATGGCAAGAAGAAAGCTTTTGTACGACTACAACCTGAGGTAGATGCTCTGGACATCGCTAACAAGGTACGTCAGCATCTCCTGACATTCTTTATTACGTTTCTAACGGAATCATTCTTTATTCAGATCGGTTTCATTTAATCATCTCACTATCCGTTCGAAATTATTCTTGCTGTTCGTGCGCACAACATGCTCCCGGAGAAATTACTTTACCTAACTACATGTACTGCTCCAATCAAAATATGCCCGGGTACATCGACGCTACTACCTTGTCACCGCCGCAACTGGACGTCTCTCTACGTGCCCCTGTAAACCTACACTCATGCCCTGCCATTCATCATCTAGTTAAGCCATGCTGCCTCTTTTACGCCTGTGGTCCATGTCGTCAATGTTTCATTAGACAGCTGGGTAAGGTGAACCATCATCCAGTGCCTCATGATCCGCCTGACTGCTTGCCAATTCCCGTGTGGTAGCCACACCAGTAGTAATTGCCCCACCTTGATGCTAGATGGAAACCCAAGTGACCTCTAGATGAGTCTGACGACTCTTGAGACAAACAATGTGGCGTAAATGTGTACTCCATATTTTCTGGACTGGTATAGATGAATCTGCTTGCAATAGGGAATCTGCACTTCGAGAGATGCTGAACCACTTCACCTCTCCTCGGCAACAGACGGAGTTCACCCTCCATCATGGCAATATACCTGGGAATCTGGGGAGAGTTCTGACCAGATGTGACCCAGTTGATTGGATGTCAGGATCACCAAGAGAAGGAATACATGTGATTTGCAAGCTTGAAAGTTTGACATTTTTGGGTTTATAATCTGAGTACAACACTCAAGCTGCATGCTTAGGATTTGGAGGAGTAGCCTTTTGTGCACTGTACCATTGAGCTCTTAAGTCTTCAGATCCAAATATGAGGTCCAGTGTAAGAATGGGCAAGTAAAAAACTACTGGTCAGGTGACACTGGCCACAATGCACCATTGCATTTCTTTTTGTACAACATGACATTGTGCCATGTGTGACTTGTTGAATCAATTCTCATACAAAGACCCAAATGATAGACCAGATATGATACATTACAAGACATTCATCAACAAGAGTCTTTTGTTTGAGAGCATCTCCACCACTGCTGGCAAAAGCCTCAATAAAGGTGATTTGGCAACCATGTGGAAAAAACCTTCCACATTGCCTGTATAGGACAGTCACCCAAGGTCTCCCAGGTTTGAGTGGCCAGATTTATTGGCCAGGACCCCAGAAAGCACCTATGTGACCATCCAACAAGAGATATCACAATTGGGGGTCCAGATTTTGGCTATGTTACTGACAAAATATGTATCAATTGGCCAAATTTCAAAAAAAGCATACCAATGAAAAAAACTGACATAGGTATCAATTCTGTATAAAATGGCATATCAAGGAGGAAAGGCAACCTAAAACAGCACATCACAGATGTGATACCTACACCACTAAAGGGTTGTGACGTGTAGTTGACGCGCCAGCAGAATTGCACGTCAGATACCCGCAGAATGCAAGCGACGTCATTCGTCCGTACAGTCGACCCATCTCAACAACGTGAGCGCCAACGGGCTGAATACGCACACCTCACCACTCGGACATGTGTCCAATGCCATCTTTGGACGCGTACCCGGATTTCCCGA